GACAAGATTCTTCTTAAAGGGCTGTAGTTTTGAAATGGACTTTATGTTTTGAGGAATGTCATTCCATGCTTTAGTATAAACATAGAAAAAAATCATATATCATAAGCACAGACACAAAGCATGACAYGTGAAATGACTGCGTGGAATATTTTTGGATGTTCCTCTTCAACCTTGTTGCTTGCATTCACAGTCTGATTGGAAAACTGTTTAAAGAACGGTATCTGCAGGGTTTAACAGAGCATCAGGAATCACAAACAGAAATGAGTACATGTCGTTACTGAACCCAGACTCTATATTTTGTCCAGTGACAAGACCCGTACTCAGATCCGGCATCATTTTTAGGACATGTAAGCCTAATAGCAGGTATGAATTAGCTTCAGTTTGCTAATGGATCATTATTAAGCCATTTGGAGGAACAGAGAACTGACAGTGTTTTCTGGAGAGGTGTGAAGCCACTGAGAGCATTTATTTATTACCTCCAATCACACCATTGCCCTTGGCATAGATAACCTCRGGAACAGCTGTGGGCTGAAGAACCAATACAGAGCAGTCTACTGCAGCAGATTTGAACCTTAATTAACAAGCCTTAATTAAAAGAGTGCTGCCTCAGACAGTAATGTGCTCACGCTCCTCGGTGCTTGAACAGCCTGCGCTGTGACGCGCAGCTCAGGTTACTTAAAACGTCAGATGATTCGAGTCGCCTCAGCTGGCGTGAAGACAGCATGGGAAATGAGATGCACCTGGTCAGAGTGCTCAGCTGCTGACGAGAGGGCCCCATGGTGAGTCCAGATACTACACTGAGTGACTGAACACATGTACTGTGTGTCAGTGTGTGTGCGCGCACACGTGTGTGATCATATACTAGCAGCACAAAATGAGTCAGAAGTGTGTGACTCAAAAAATGTAACAACAACGTTTAGCTCAGGAAAACACTGGCCTGTGCTGTGAAATCTAAATGAGGTGTAAAAAAACAAATACAAATAATAGTTTTTCTTTTATTTTTTAGAATGAATGGGTAGCCAAATTCAGCCCATTGATATTGCAGTGATTCATGAAATTTATCTTCAAAACTAGAGAATATGCATTTCCAGCTAAAGTGCAGTGTGAATCCTTAATGTTGAAAGATTTACTGAAGTCAAGCTGAAACGGTTTACTGGCAAAATTGGAATGTGAGTTAAATTGGAACAGCCAATCTTTGCTAAAAGTAGAAAAACAATTGAAAAGTCAGTAAATAGAAAAATATGTCAAGAGCAGAAATGTATAGCTAAAATAAATACAAATGGTAAAAAAAAAATAGTTTAAAGAACAAAGAAGTTGCAAGAATCAGGATAATTCACAAATAAAATATAAAAATTAAAGCTGATATTTAGACAAAAGAAGGCAAAACATGAAGAAAAATGACTAACCTGACCTTTAACTTTTTTGTGACCTTGAAATTAACATGGGTCAGAACATGTTTGCTGAATTAAACAGTAAGAAGCTGAAAACCTTTGAAAAAAGTGAATTTAGCTAAAGAAAAAACTAAAAATGAGCAAAAAAAGGAGCATGTTGGGAAAAAAAAGGCTGAACTGATCACCAAAACATAAATTTAGCTGAATTTAGCCGCAGAGAGCCAGAGTAGCTGAAAAGGTGGAAATCTGAAAACAGCAGAATGAAGCTGAAAGAAGCACAAAAAGCTTAAATTAATACTAAGCAAAAAGAAGCGCATCAAAGCTGATATTAAGAAGTTGGAAAAATAACTGTAAAATGCTGAAAAGAGCTGAAATGAGCTTTAAAAAAGACTAAAGTGAATTGCTGAAATACCAAATGTCATATCTGGAATGTCACGAAGGAGCTAGAAGTTTTGAAATATAAATTGTCGAAATAATACAAAAAGACATGCTGAACAAATGTGTGGAAGAAAAATAGATCTTAGTGAATGAGCATCCACACATTCTAATATGATCCCGTATACCATTTACATTATGAAAGGCCAGTTGATGAAACCACTRTGGCGACTGTGGAAAGGAATGAATCCCTTTGAACAGGAAGAAACCTCCAGCAGAACCATTATTATTATTGGAGATTATTAAATGTCAGTCTTCAAAAAAATGGACTTTTATTCACGTCCTAAAGTCTTAAACTCACCACGACCACGGCGTAACCTTTCATTCTTCTGAACCTTAACCCTGATGTTAAACCAAGTCGTCACCCTGAAATCTTCAGCAGAACTTGATTTTTGTGACTTAAAGAAGACAGATTCATCTCCACGCCCTGACCTTCACCATCATAACTAATGCATCGACTCATATCCCCAACTCCAACCCTGCGGCTGCTCTTTAAATATAAATAAAGCGAGGCGACAACTTCTCAATCTGAACCTCCACAAACATAAAAGATTTTTTTTGAAATTTTTCATTTGCTCTCGTACAAGCTTGAAGAACAGTGTCACAATAAAATAAGAAAGCTTTGTCAGTTTTATTATTATTTATTTATTATTATCATTTTACTTTAACATATACGTGACAGAGCGGAGAGGGGGGAAAACTGTGCAGAAATAAGTGGGCACATGCGATATTTATGGTCCCAGAGTTGTCCTGGGGGGGGGGGGGGGGGGGGGGTTTGAAACGCAGCTCCTGAGCGCGCCGCGCCGCGCGTGATCTCTCCAGCTCCAGTCCTGTTTGTTGGCAGCAGCAGCAGCGGCAGCGGCAGCGGCACGATGCGCGACGGAGACAAGAAGAAGAAGAAGGTCGGAGCTGTGAAACCGGACCCTCTGCCAGGGATGTCGACAGAGAGGAGCCCCTGAAAGCAGCACGAGTTCCCAGGACAGAAGAAGGGAGATAAAAAAATAAAATAAAAACCCAAGGTTTTATGTGTTGCTGCTTCTACCCGTCGCCCTTTCTGCACACCACAGTGTTGTAGTGGACCTGGATGCCGTGTGGGCGATGCTGCCACAAGGGATTTTATTGTGATTTCGTGGAGATCTTTAGGCAACCGTTGCATCTTCACTAAAATAAAATGAAAGAGCAAAAGGCGTCAGATGAAGGACAGGAGTGATAAAAAAAGAAAATGGGGAGATCTTTATGAGAAATCACCACCTGTTAGCCTACAAGAAAATCAGGTAAGCCTCATGTGTCCTTTTTTTTTGTTTTTACATTGCCTTATTAATTATTCACACTTACAACCTTTAAATAAACCACCATGTACATTTGCTTCATTTACCTTAATGTTGCCAGAATTTATTCACCAACCACCTTTCAGGTCCAAATGATAGTAAATCCCATTTTCAACCTGTAATAGTTAGATTTGTGCAGAGCTCTGAGTGGGAACTTGSCTGAAAACATCTTGATCAGGAGATTAGCAGGGAAATACGTGGGCTCGCACAAACCTTGTGTTTTTTTCTTTCTCTCTCTTATTGCATCAGTGCAGGTACACACAGGCAAGCAACCGCAGTTCCTCAAGCCAGTGCAGTGGCAGCAGACCTCTTTTCATCCACACAGTGGTTATTCAGCTGCCTGGAAGTAGGCTCCCAAAGCTGGATCAGAGGCAGCATCCCTCCTTGGGTAAAGAGAGAGGGAGAGAGAATTTTAYAGTCATTCACAAATCACTCATGAGTCCTGCGCCTTGTTTCTCGATCCTTCGCAGCTTGGAAGTAGCATGAAGGCAGTGTCCATCTGTGAGAAAGCTGAGGAGTAATTCAGCCTGCTGCCTCCGCCGCCGCCGCCGCTGCTTCTGGCCCTTTTATTATTCTTGCAGAAAACTCCTGAATCCTTCAGCGTTTCAGGCAATTTATGATGCTTCTCTTACAGTAAACTGCTGTGGCAGGGGGCTGCACCCCCACCACCTCCACCACTGCCTTCTTCCTCTCCTTGATGGACAATCGGAGCAGCTGAGGTTTACCAAGCAGACCTCACTTCAGTGCCTGTCAGGTTACTGGCATACAGATACGAGCTGATTTATTCACTGGACACAGATCAGGTGCAAGTCGATGTACTCAAAGGCTCGCCTTCGTGCATAAAAAGGAAAGACACTGAGCTGTCAGTTTCTTCCCTTCCCCTCATCTTTTTTTTTTCTGCTACGTCTTAAATCAAAGAGTAGTTTGGCCAAGTGACAGGGCTACATAAAAAAAAGACCAGATGAAGGAAAAACAAGAAGTGAAACGGTCTTGTCTGACAACTTTCTTTGAGACCCCGTCAAAGCGTTGCACTCTACAAAGAGACTGACATGCAGTCAAACCCATCCGTGGCCTAAAGTTGACACACGTCCTTAATGGTTTGGAAACAACATCTGCTCCACGCAACCAAATGCTTCTCGGCGCTCATCAGTAATCTGCTTCCTCTCYGCCCACCAAACCCCACTGGATCGTTTAAATAAAAATAAAAAAAAAAACCTAGAGCAGTTAAACATCTTGAAATCTATTAGTGAGATCAGCAGTCCTTGGGCGTCACTGAAAGCGGGGAATGTTGCACGTTGACATCAATTTTGTATGTTAACACATTCAAAGTGCTGTTGCACTCCCCCTAGCAACACCCAACGTGCTTGATATGTAACTGAGCTGCTCTAAATTTTCAAGGGTTACGCTTTTCGGTGCTCCGAATTAGGCAGAAGTGCCTTTTTTAATACCACATGGCTTTATTAGGTGACCTCACTTAATCACGAAAATAAGCTGTGTTCGAAAAGTAAGGCACAAAAAAACCCGACAGAAGCTACAGCGAAAAATCAGAAAGTCCAAACGAGGTGAACAAAAAGTAAAAAGTAAGCATTTTTCTACTTTATTTCCTTTTGTTTTAGAGACTACAAAGTGCCACTGAAAGGCTGGACATCTTCATTACAAGAGCTCAGTGGTGAGAGGGGGGGAAAAAGTGAAACACCTGATGTTTCTATGGGGGCTTTTATAGCAACTGTTTGGTCAGCCATCCATACAAACTGCTCCAGATGTTAAATTTGTGGAGGAGAAACGACGTGCCTTTACTGCGGGGTGATGTACGAGCTGCACGAATAAAAAGAAACTGTAGATTTTTCTCTCAGGAAGGAGGCCGTGCGGAGAAGAATCTAATAGCGGTCCGTGCCACAAAGCCACTSTCATGCAACAAGAAAACCATTAGTCTGTCCTAACGGAGACTGGCGGCTAATGAAGCGAATGCACACCCAGTTCTTCACAGTGGGGAAGGCACAACTCTCATTGACATGCGCCTCGTCGCCCGGGCCGATCTGATTTAGAGGTTCAGGACTGCAACACGGACCTACTCGCTTAAACGTGGGCGACGAGCGCCTCGTGAAAACCAATAAGGGGTCGGATTATCCACAGTGATAAATGATTGCGTTACGTATGACCAAGCACGCTTCCAACTATAGACTTCCTCCCGCAGAGGGTTTCTGTTGAAGGTGAGCGGTGTTTGCTTTGTACCTCTATGTAGCCCATGCCGGACAATTTTGGGTCACGGTTGATTAATGTGTGGAGTCTGCTTGTTCGTTAAGCACCGCTGCTCAGACTCAAACTAAAGTAGCAGCTCAGCCTGGATGGTTCACACAGTAATCTCCGTTATTGTGTTTCCATTTGATATTTTCAATCTAATACAGCAGATTGGAACCTAAAATAGCTCCAAGCAGCTTCAAACGGAAGATTTTATTTTAAGTAGGAAAATAAACAATGTGGCCTTTACAGCCCGGCTAACGAGAACAGCTGTTTAGACCACAGGTTTATAGTAACTCACCAGAGGCAACATTAACCAAGAAGGCACACCGTATTAGGAGGAATATCAGTGAGAAAAGTTTGCTAATGTTGGTTCATTAAGATTCCTTTTATTTTTTTATTATTATTATTAAGCTAGCAGCCAGTGCGGCCCTCGTTTGTTTTTTAGCACGTTCACTTGGAGAAAGTTTGTCATCAGGCAGCAAAGGCTCATGGGACATTTCATAGGTTGATCAAATATGAGTATTAGTGGGCTTATAATGTATATAAAYGTTTGCTGAAATGTCCTGTTATTTTTTGTATGTTTGATTTTTTTAACATCATCATCTGTTTGAATAATTACAGTTGTTTTAGATGTTCAACTCTATCTTCAAAAAACAAAAAYGTTAAAATCACAATGCTCAAATATTAATGTCCTGCATCCACTGTCCCTCAAACCCTGAAGTGCCCAAAGTGGGGCCCGCGGGCCAAATTTGGCCCGCCAAGCCATTTGATTTGGCCCACCAGCAGTTATCCTGGTTACTAGATTGTAATCT